AAAGTCAAAGTATATGCTTGATTTCTGGCTAGACTCCGTTCAAAAGCGCAGAAATTTTTTTCTTTTTGACAACCCTACATAGTCAAAACATAGTAAAAGAGATAGCCTACATTTTGACTAGTTTCCAGGCCCTTTTAAAAGCGCATTTTTTTTTTCAATTTTGTTTACTTAAACTTTTAAATTGTTTGTAATGAATTTCCATTGAATTATTAAAAAGCCAATAAAAGTTTTATTGAAGACGCGTGTGTAATTGACTTCTATCTGCTGTACTGTTGTTGTTGTCTTTATTATTTATTAACAATGCTAAAATAATGTACACAGTAAAAACCACTTGCTGTTTTCATTTCATTTTATTGTCTTGCTATAAGTAACTAATTAACTAATTGAAAATCAGTTAAATTAAATTAAAACGTGTAAAGGAAAAGTTCGCGTCTAAAAACTAAGACTTTTGGCGGGAAAATTGAAAAAATTTGCACAGCGTTTCCCCTTACAACTTTTCTGAGAAAAAATTTAAAGAGTACCCTTCAGAAGTTTTTGATCGCAAAAAATTCTCAAAGGCAATAGTTGGAAAATATCCCGTCAAAAATAGCTGCATCACCCCGCGTTGAAAAAGTAATTTTGATATTTCATTACGATTTCATTTTTTTTTCTTCTCAAATAAATTGTTGCCAAACAGTCTTCAAATTTCATTTTTCAACGAACTTCGCGATAGTTTTTGTGCGAGGTGATGGAAGAGTTCCTCGAGACATGAAAAACATGAAATGGCAAACGGATCAAATAGGCGACAAAATAAAATTTGCTTCCGAAATGGATTTTTGAACCTCGCAAAATAACCGTGAAATACCGTTTCAGCTAACGGGGTTAAATTTCACATCCAATCTGAAACTGTAGCTTGCCATTTCATATCTTTCTCTATCAGACGATAATATAGATGGTACACTTCGGTTTAGTTGCACAGGAGCAAGAACACTTAAGTAAATCAAAATCCAATCGTTGATTGTCCAATTTCGATGCTTTATAAACCATTTAAATTTCGAAATAAGTTAATTTTCTCTTCCGATGCGACCGTTCGCTCCGAGCTCTTTTCCCGTGCAACAAACCAACGAGTAAGCACCACAAAATAATCAATATCTGGTAGTACAAAGATGTTTATTCCTAAAATAACACAATTTCTTCAGCCGGCTTCAAAACGATGTCGGAACAATCCACCGTGAAAATTTAAATCTCTTTTTGAAAAGATTTCCAAATTATTTACTCTATTTTGAACAAAGCTTATCAAAGAAAAATGCTTATGTACTTCTTTTGCAAGTCCAGAAATTGAAACGTTAGAACTGAACGACAAATGTTTTGCAAAGGCGCCACGAAAACTTTGTATGACAAGGCAAATACGCAAAATATTTTCATCCTTGTTAACAAATTTGTTGCTGGTCTTTGTAGTTTTGGTTAGGACTGTTACAAAATCGTTGGCAGCCTTTTAAATGTTGAAAACAATCAGTGCAATAGCTAATTATTGTGTAATAGTTGCACGCGGAAGGTTGTCTTTTTGCAGGTCATTGCTAGACAATTGTTGAAAAACAAAAGATGCCAGACTCTAATTTGATTTGCAAATATTAAAGCATTCACAGAAACAGGTTTTTTTTTTCAGTTGTTCTCCGCGATCCTGAACTCATTTGTACTTCAAAGCTGAAAATATCAATTCTCCTTTAAGATTATCTTCCTTGGCCTTATCTGTACTTCTGAGAATTTGGTAGCACATCAAGACAACATCTCCGAGTCGATGATTTTGTTTATCACTCTCGTTATACGTCTTAGCTTTTTCCTTTTCATTACACCTTTTATAAACCAGATATTGATCTTAGAAGCCTAAACTTTCAATATCTAGTGGTTAAACAAACGTTGATCGGTCGTTAAGGTGGCACTTTCATAAATTGAGTTGTGTAGTATGTCAAATAACCTGAAGATATTTTCAATTTATTTTGAAGTACGTGTGGTACAACAATACGCAAGAAAAGCTTCAATTTATAGCTAAAAACTACTATCTCGGTAATCACATGATTTGATTGGAATGCAGTTTGTTATCTCTTTCGTTACCGTTGGGAAATCTTCGGAAATTTTCGGTTGATCTCCGGAATTCTATCATCGGCGATCTTCTGAATACCTCAAATGCCCTTCGGCATCCGAAATCATATTTCTAATTCATTAATCTTCGTTGTAATTGGCAATCGGCGTTTTTGGCCAGAGTCGATGTTTGTTCTTAAGCGTGTGTTTGCATAGAATTTCACAATCAGTGTGTGTCTATGTGATCAATTCAGATGGCCATTTGTTCTCTTTGAAGAGTAATTTTCATTGTCCTGGCATTTTTCTGCCTTATTAAATTATGATTTGGAGACTTTATTCCATGAAAATGTAATATTTGAAGATAATTTAAAACTAGCAAGACGATTCAAATTTGTTACAGAATAATTTCGTTTGTGCCAAAATATATTTTTCGTTGTAGTACAGCCCATTTAAATCTCCGTTTGCCTAAAAAAATACCCACGCAATGTTACGATCGATTCCTATATAAAACGTACACGTTTTGATCACAAAAATTTAGATG